TGCAATAAAATTACATTATAACAATAGAAATGACTTAAAAAAAATCAAACAGATATGAAACTGTCACTGTGGCAAAGATTCTTTTACAAGACTTCTTAGTAGATTTGCTTGTTGATGACAGGTCTCTTTTCAAGCACCAGCAGTAATCAGCCATCATGTGAGAATCCCAGTGGCCTTGCTACTATTCCTCCACAATTTTGATATTTTGGTGAAATCTCTCCACTTATTTGTCACTTACATCACCTAAGTTACTTGGAATTTGGTCAAGATGGCTACTCAAAAAAAGCATTTTTATGCTCATATTGCAACTTAACTCTCTGTAATTCCTTACAAATATTTTTACTGCTTTATAATTGCCGAAAAAGCTTTCTATCATGTTCATGGATGAGAAGCAGGCATTTTTTTTACATTCATTAATGACATTAGGAATATTGCTGTTATTAATTAATAATTAATATTAATGTTCTTATTTGTGGACCATTAAAAATTCCCACTTTGGTTTAAATAGGAACTATGAAATAGGTACAGAAAACAAGAATACTCAAGAAAATTTTAGAATTCTATGATATTTTTAGTTTAATTTTCTAACATTAAAATGGATTAAAAATTACAATAAAAAATATACATAATAAAAGAATACAATAACAATAGGTACAAATACCTAGATAAAAAAAAACTAGTTGCATAATGTGAAGACTTAGTGAGTATGGAGAAAAAAAACTTTTATGAATACAACAAAAGAGGAGGAGTGTTGAGCAAAAGCAGGACCTGATGAGTAAAAATTTGTGTTCAGTGCACCCAAATTACATAGAACTGTCAAATCTAATTCAATAGACAAAAAATTGAAATTTATTCCCCGGTCTTATCTGTAAATTGGCATGCATTCTTGGGAATGATAGTGGAGTGGCATCCTGTTTGCCTTCTCCATGGCTTTGAATTGAGAGTAGAGGATCATGACTCTCCACAGATTCCTTTTACTATATTATCTGTGAATTGTTATGCATTCATGGGAAAGATAGTGGTGTGGATTCCCGTTTGCTTTCTCCATGGTTTGAAATCCAGAGTTTTCATTTTTCTTAGACTGGTTACCAATCAAGCGAGAGAGAGCCCAATTTACATTGCTTTTTAACATATATCTGGAAGAGAAGTGATGTAGTCACACTTTTTCACAAGAGCATTTGTGTGAAAATGAATGAAACAAACTTGATTGGAATTTGAACTCAGCTCTCAGATTCCATTCTTGGTGCCAATATCCATTACTCTATCAACGGATAACACTAAATGTTTCCACCCAGAGAGTTGGCAAGCCAACAAAATTTCTGTGTTCAGGGATGATGCCAAATACTACAAAAGTCAAATGTACTCCAATGCAGCCATTATGATCTAGACAAAATGAAGATATCAGTTTTAATAAATTAGTATAATAATGATAATTCTTCAGTTCAAAAGCTTATATTTAAAATCCTATCTTTTACACTAAATTGTATCAACCTTGTTTAAAAAAAATATATAGAACTAATAAATTACTAATATATAACTCAAATCTGTAGTTTACTTATAAAAATTCATGTAAAAAATATCACACTTTGCCCCCTTTCCATCAGCTAGAACAAAAACATTTCCAACTCATGAGGTTTTCAATCAGTGAATTCCTTTATTAGTTTTCTAAATCTTAAAAAAAAAAACATTAAAATTAACTCATTATTTGAGATGCTGTTTATATATACATATATTAGATTGTTATATATATTCAATAATTTCTCATAGCATATTTTGCTTCTTAGTAACTCTAGTCATCCTGTGAAACTTGTCTAATGTTATTAAAATTTTATTTTAGATTAGAGATACCTGTGAGATCGAATACCAAGTAGACAAGAATGAGCATGTTCAACATTTTCTCCTCTTTCCTTTTAAGGAAGGTCACATAGCTGCTTAATACATTCATGTTGTGTATGGACATGACTCCATTACTGATAAAATGGCACAGGAATGGTTTTTTCCTGTTTCAAGGAGGGGAACTTCAAACTTTCGTACTCTCCATGTTCTGGCCAACCTGCTCAGTTTGATGAGAACCAATTGCACACAAGTAAACTAGTGGTAATGTAGGAGTGCTGGAGTGTTTCTCTCAGTCAATATGTGTGGTACCCATGTACTGTATTTCTGAACCTTACCCATTGAGTGAAGATAACAAGTGATGTTAACATAAAAGTTTGCCATCTTCTGAGCCAATTCCCTCATTGTTTGGCATGGATCTTCTTAAATCAGGACATGCAATTGGTTCTCATCAAGCAGAACAGGTTGGCCAGAATGCAGACAGTCTGTGAGTTTGAATTTCCCCTCCTTGTAATAGGAAATCCATTTTTGTGTCATACTGTTGATAAATGAAAATTATCTCTGCATGCACAACAAATGTTTCAAGCAGCTTTGTGACTTTGATTAAAAGCAAAGAGATGTCGAACATGCTCATTCTGGTTTACTTGGCATTCCATCTAAAAGGGGTTTCTAATTTGAAATAAATTTTAAATAATGTTATACAACAGTTTCACAGGATGGCCAGAGTTACTAAGAAGCAAAAAAAAAAAAAAAAAAAACGCTATGAAAGGTTATTCTTAGAGATCATTCACAGAACATCAGAAAAAAAAAAAATGAACAAAAATATTTAACAACCTAATATCTATACATATTTATAAACAAACTTGATCATCATTTCTCCAAACTTGATTATCTTACTGTCAGCAAAGTGACAGGGGAAGTGAACTAATATGTAATAAAAGAAGTAGTTGTTATAATGATGTTCTAGGGTAATTTTTCTACTAAAATTAATAATCATCCCAGTTCACCTGTTTGAAACTCAAAGGTAATCAGAATATGGAAATTTTGTTTTCTGTCAGTCTATACAGAAACTATAGTGGCTGATAACTTTGTGTTACCAGTAAGAATTATGGAAAACAGTGTGATTACAACATTATTTACATTATTCGGACTATTGTCCTCATCTTTGTTGCCATATTTATTACAATGTTCCACTGTTCCTTTATCCACTGTGCCATGTGCCCTCAAGGACACATGGCACAGTGGATAAAGGCATTGGTTAGATCCAGTGACAGGACCCAAAGAGTGTGAGTTCAATACCTGGTTAAGGCAGTGGAGAACTTTCAGAGGGAAAATTAACAGGAGATAACTGAAAACTGACATCCATTAAAACATGGCGTTTGGAACTGGAACTAGAACAGTCTATCCCAGTGAATGAAATAAAGTGTTCAGTTCAACATTCCAACCACCTGAAGAAGGCCGGAGCATACAACAGCTGAAACATAATAAATATGGCAACAAAGATGAGGACAATAGTCTATATAATGTAAATAATGTACATAATACCTCATCCCAAAAATATAGACAGTGTGATTACAACTTTTAATCAATAAATTTTAAAGAAATTATCTGAATCCACTTGCTGCTGTAGTTTGATTTATTTACATCGGTATGGATGCACACATAGTCACACACACACACATATATATATATATATATATATATGTCGGGAAGGAATACCATCTGGAAAGCTTCCATCTATGATGCATCCTTGGAACCACATGGAGAGACAAAGTTACCAGCACTACTGTGCTGGAACAAGCAGACTCCTGGAACATGCATCTTCTTTGTCAACCTCATTTTTGATGGCTAGGTGATAGGACACCATCCAGTTGGCTGCTCTGTAATATGTTTCACGAATGTTTGCAAGAGAGACCTGAAACTCACAGGCATTGAATGGTAGTTGGAAACAGCTAGCAGACAATCAAAGTGGCTAGTGCCATGCCATTCAAGGAGTCATCATGAAGGACAGGAAAAGACAAAACTGACTATTGGAGATCAGAAGACAATGCAGGAAGCAGAGAGAGCAATCTTGGACCTTCATTCCTGATTCATCTGTCACACCTGCAGAAGAGACTTACATGCAAAGGTTGGCCTGTTAAGTCACTCCAGACACTGCTAGGGCTGAATTTTGACCAAACAGGGTGCTACCATTATTTCACAAGATGCTTAATATTATGTATGCAAATGAGTAGACAGATGAATAAAAGTTTAAACAGAATGATTTATTCAACAGAGTGGCCTAACCTCAGATGATCATGGGGTCGCACGTCAATGTAAAACATTCATTTTGCATATGGTAAAAGGAAAGCAAGGTACGCAATCATGTCAGTCACATGATTAACCTATGCTTATGATCACATGGCTTTAACCATAAGAACATACAAAAAAAAAAAATAAAAATAAAAAAAATGAGAAGCTAGTCACAATAGTAGTTGCAGAGAAGGATAAATAAATACAATCCCAGTTTTCTGTGCAATCTTTTTTTTTTTTATTGATTTGTTTGTTATGACTTATCAACCCTTTGCAGGTTATTTAAAACAAAATATTTTTTTAGAGTGTAAGATTTTATTTTTTTTGAGATAATGGTTTAGTGGTACAAGTCCTATTACTAACTGACTCATAGCCGGGGGAGGGGGGGGGGAAGAGAGTATTTGCTTGTAAGTGAATATAACAAACTCAATGGAAACTGGAACTCATCTCTCCAAATGACAATTCCAAGCCATTATCTTTTACACCACCTCCACATCCATGATTACAGCACCTGCCATTCTCAAATGTTCACCCACCTAGGTACTGACTAGGGTAGACATTGTTTAACATGATTTTCTGTACTGCAAGCACTAACATCTGGGAAAGATCATTATCTGATAATGTGATTAGTGTTGTTGTTTTCTATGGATTATCAACCCTTTGCAGGTTATTTAAAGCCAGAAAATATTTTTAGATTGAGATAATGGTTTAGTGATATAAGTCTTACTAATTAACTCATAGCTGGGGGAGAAGAGGTGGATTCATACTTTTCCCAAAGGCATTTGCATGTAAGTGAATATAATGAACCCAATGAGAATTGGAACTCAACTCTCCAATTAACAATTCCAATCCATTACACCACCTGCACATCCAAGCTTACACCACCTGGTATTCCCATGCATTCACCCATCTAGGTACTGACCATGCCTGACGTTGCTTAACTTCAGTTATCATATGGGAACTTGTGTTTCAATGTGATGTGCCTATGCAGTCGAAAGTGAAGAGATGTGTTATTTGTTTGAAACTTCACCTGTTTACTCCGTCTCTTCAATCAAACATTTTGCATAAAACAGAACCTCAACAATCAAAAGTAAATGCATTATTTTTTTTTTTTTTTTACATTAAGACCACTGTTTTACAAGAATGGGACAACAGTCCAATAACACTGTAAACACCAATTAGTATTCAATCACCACAGTTAAGCATCATTGAACCCAGTTAGTACTTAGATGGTTGACCACTTAGCTGGTTAATCAACCATCAACAATTTTAAATGTTTTAGCTTTAATTAACTCACAAAGGATTGATAAGACATGGAAAACAAATCAACTACAAGAAAGGAGAATTAGTGTACAACATTATCACAATTAGCACTGTGATTGACCATTTCATAATCTTTATATTATTACCATAGCTTGACAAAGTGTTTTTATGTAATAGACTAAGGCAAACTGGTCTCAAGTACTTCGAGAAAAGAAATTAAACTTTAAATGAAAAGCAACACAAACATAACCTTTTGTTTCATGAACATGTGGAATATAAGTTTAAAGAGGTTATAATCTGGTTACTACAATGTTAACCTCATCAAGTCAAAGGTCAATCATCATCATTTTTTTCTACCCTCTTCTCTTTCATTTCTATCTCATAACTCATTCATCAATTTAACAGTAACCATTTGCCTTGAATGGATCTCTAACTTTATAATGGGTGAATTTTAGTATTAAAACCCACTTAGAAATAATTTTGTTTTTGCTTCAATAATTGATTAAAGTTGCTGTAGTGGAGTTTGGGTTATATTAATGTCAAATTGTCAGTCCTTGTCCACATGTTAGATGCAACAACTACCAAGAACAGAATGTTGTTGCTATTAAGAGAATGGTGTTGGTTGTGTTATCAATATTAACAGTATAATATTCAAATATGGTGCCAAATGATGGGAGGAAAATATAGAGCAAGTCCATATAGTTAGATTTGTTATTTAGCCACTTTTACTCCGAGTTATTCAAACTGTAGAGCTGTTGTCATACTAAAACATGCTAACCACGATAAAAGGAATTAAATTTCAAATTTTCTCTTCATGCTTATTTTTTAGTTCCATTCTACAGTTCATTGATGGCTATAGACTAATGGAGTGAGTAGCCATGATGAAAAGCAACTAAAGTTCAGATGTATGAAATCAAGTAAAAGTTTATGATGGCTAACCATCTTTATGTGCTGTATTGGGATGTAGGCAATCATAGTTCTCCATAATTTCCTGTCCTTTGTAGCTTTCAATAAATTTTCTTTGTTATTTTTCCAGAAAGCTGACCATGCCTTATCTAGATAAAGAAATATTGGCTATTTTTAACCTTCATGCCTGGAAAAAAAAAAAAAAAAAAAAGAAAGAAAGAAGTTATTTCCTTGACACTGTTATTATTGTTTATACTTTTGGCTCCCTCAGTAATGTTTGTTTTTTGAAACTATGATTAGAATTTTAATAAGACTCAAATATATGATGATGTATTTATACATATTCTTTATCCTTCAGAATTGACAAAAATAGTAACTATTAGACTGAATAAAAAATCTTTTCATAATTATTTATAAAATTGTAAATAATAAATATTGCATTGTAGCTGGTTTATATATTTTGATAATGTTGTAATTTTTTATATATTTTTGAATAAAAAGATTTTTCAGATGTATTTCTTTATAAAATGGTAAATAAATATTGCATTGTACTTCACATATTTTTAGAATCTTGTAAATAAACATTGCCAAGGGAGTCAAAAGTGTATACAGTAATAGCAGTGTCAAGAGTATAACCATCCTTTTGAAACACCATTTTTTTTTTTTTTTTTTTTTTTTTACACAGGCACAAAGGTTAAACATTGCACACACACACATATATATATATATATATATATATATTATATCAAAAAGGTGTTCCAATAACTTGTACTGATTTTAAATGTGAATCAAGTTTAAGCATTTAATGATTCTTATTTTCCTTTCAGATTTAACAACCCAAGTCTTTAAAGTTATCAAAGCCTGTTACAAAAAATGGATGTTCAAATTTATAAATATAAAGCCCAATGATCTTGCTAGCAAAAAATGCACACCAAACAGTGACCTTTCATGGATGCAGTAGCTTTTCAACAATCTTTGGATTTTCATCAGCTCAAATGTGACAATTCTGCTTATTAACGATTCCACCAAGATGAAAATTGGCTTCATCACTAAAGGGGATTTTTTGTGAAAAATCTTCATTGGCTTGTCTTTGCTTGTGCATCCAATTGACAAATATATGGCGCTCCAAATGGTCAGCAGATTTCAGTTCTTGTGTCAATTGAATTTTGTAAGTGTGCAGAAACAAATCTTTTGTCAAAATTCAATGTAACGCTATTGTGGAGAGGTTCAACTCCTGCATGTGATGACGAATAGAGGTGTCTGGATTTTTGGCCACATTCTCATACACTGCAACAATGTTTTCAGCTGAACGGCATAAACAAGCATGCAGTGGTATTTTCACATCCGCCACAAACCCAGTTTATTTGAATTTATGAACAATTCTTCCAAATGCACTCTCAGTTGGTCGATTATGTTGACAACCCCACACACCCCCAAAGATTGTGAAGTGCATAAAATGCACTTCTGTTTGAACAGCCATTTTCATAATAGGCTTCGATAACTTTAACATTTTGATTGTTAATCTTTCCATGGTTGAAATTACCAAAAGACTTAAGTCATTAACTCTGAAAGAAAAAGAAAATCATTAGGTGCTTAAACTTAATTCACATTTAAAATTGGGCCAAGTTATTGGAAACACTATATATATAAGGAATATGGTTGAAAACTATTCACTAAATCATTAGTTGGAATGTGATCACAAAAGGCATGATCAAAATTATTCATGCATATATATTACAGAACAAAAATGAATAATAGATAAAGGGACACAAGTTATCTTTCCTGCATTAGAGACTTCCTTATTCCCTTTAAAGTGAATGTGAACAAGGTCAGTATGATAGTGTGGTATATGCTTCAATGAAGATTAAAAAATATGGTGACTACCTCAGTTTAAAGAATGTGATTGTCCACAAATATAGAGAAATGCTACATTATCAAATTCAACAATGTCCACATAATGAAAAACCGTGAAAGATGAATGTGACACTATTTAGCTATGGTAATTGGCTAACTAATTAACCATAGAAATTAAAACAAGAAAATACTAAGAACAGAAAAGAAGAAATTTTTATTTTTATTTTTATTTTTTACTTAAGAATAAAATCAAGTCACTGTCTCAAAGGCCTATAAATTGGCATAGACAGTAGACTCACAGAAAAGCCATATATGAGCTTTTTGACAAGTGATTAATGTTGTTTGTAAAAGAATGCTTGCCAAGAGAAACACTAGATTCAGAAAAAGCAAAGCGTTGAGATATTGGGCAGGCCATATGGATCATGAAAATTTCGGCCCGAGATGATTTGCTGATACAGGGTAAAGAAAATCAATATTAACTGACTTCCCAAGATATCATTTTTCTTGAGTGCCAGCAAGGCAGAACCATATGGCAATGTGTGATTCGTAAAAATTTTGGCATGGGAAAATAATTATTCCGATACGGGGTGGACAGAATTGTTATTATTTACTTTTCCAACGTGTCGTCTTCAGGCACCAACACATCAAGTAGCAATATGGTGATTATAAAATTTGGGGCATGAGAAAAGATATCGTGGAAGAATCGTGATTTGGGAGATAAGAAATTTAATTTCTCAAGAAGCCAAGGCTTCCAATAAAAGCTAACTTTATGAAGGGACCAGATGGCAGACTTTGACAAGTGATTGATGAAATTTGTAAAGATTACGGGTTAAGAAGACTCTGAGTGACCAAAAGATCTGAGAGATTTTAAGTGGCAATGTTTGATTTGTAAAAATTTTGGCCGATAGGGAAAAAAAAAAAAAAAAGAATTTTGTAAATAAAAATTCTGGGTTATAATCTTAAGAACGCCAGCTTAGCCACACTCGCACAGCCAGGTTGCCATTAGTTTAATGGTAGCAATGGTGATAGGCAGAGGTAATTCAATGAGAAGGACGGGGAAGTTATTAATGCCCACTGAAGGGATTGGTGCAAGGTATCAATGTAAGAGAGTGGGAGTTTAGGAGGATAGTTCTCCTCCAACCTCTTTTCATCGATGAAGAGATCCCCCGAAAATGGAAAATGATTAATTTTCCAAAAATGGGAAGTAATCAATTTCCCTGGCCTGACAACAAAGAGATTTCTTGTCAGAAATCGAGATTTACCAAAAAACCCACACTGCATCCAACTCCGCACCCGTTTTTGGTCTGTACCCATATAAACAAATGTCCTGGGGCCATTCAACAGTTAGTTTGGGAGTCAGAGCTTGAGTAGAGTGTTGCCTCGCAGAAGCTGATTGAGAGATTCCATGACCTCCGACCGCTTATCCTACCAATAGCAAGCTATACTGACAAACAAAGCCAAGTCAGCACCTAAAAACTAAACCAGTTGATTTAGGATACCAGAACTTGCTTAAGAAACATAGAAGTGTCACACTCTAGAAAACGGGCTGGAAGAAAACACACACCTGTATATTACAGACAGACAAAGTGAATTTATTTTTTAACATACTTTAACCTCTTGGGTTTTTATATGCATCTTTTTCTTTACGCTTGTGCGATATCACCTCCAGTCTAGACTCATCTTACACTACTGCCCGACGCCTGATTAATCTCATCTACCTAAGATCAAAATCACAACATGGGTAGGTTAGACTTGAGATCAAAGCAGTTACTTCGGTAACCAGACGTTGGAAGTGAGCTGGGAATGACGGAGCTGATGTCAAACTGGTTGCAGCCAGTGTGAAGTCGCTAGCATTGACCGACCATCCCACTTGGTACCCTGACCAAAGGATTCCACCAGGTAGTGACGACCAGGATTCAACCTTGGACGAGCCAGTGTCACATATTGGTAC